CTTGCAATTGAATTAACCACAAGGAAGCTCGACAACGACAAACCTCAGCTCACTTTTTGCGCCCTGAAACTTCAGTATTCTAAGCGCTTGAGTACATCAGCCATGAGATTGCTATATGCTCTCCCCGCAACTTGCGCGCTCATCTACCGCGCCAAGAGCAGGAATTCTTTGACGCCCGCTGGCATCTTCGCTGCAACTCTGACAGCTGCCGCACACGCCTACCACCCATGGAATCTTCCATTTGCACTCCTATGCGTCTTTTTCCTTGCCGGAACACGCGTAACACATGTGAGTATTTGCGCCCGCTATACGGATGTCAAGGGAGATGTCTGACGACGCCTCAGATCAAAGAAGGCATCAAGGCCAACTATACGCTTCGCTCAAAGGGTACATCTGGAGGAGAAGGGCCTAGAACGCATGTTCAAGGTAAGCACTTGAAGCTATACACGAATCACAATTGACTGATCTGTCAAGTCCTCGCCAACAGTTTGATGGCCTCCGTCCTTTCCGTCCTCCACGCGAACCAACTGCGAAAACGAGAAGCCGCATTCGCCGATCCTAATACTCCGGATCCCACGGGATCACTATGCTTTTCATGGGGCGGTGACCTCCTGGTCGTTGGAATCATTGCCAATTATGCGGCCGTCGCGGCCGATACTTTCAGCTCCGAGCTTGGTATCCTGTCTTCAGGAGAACCTCGACTGATCACATCACCAACACTCCGTAAGGTGCCTCGTGGGACAAACGGTGGTGTCACCCTGCTGGGTTTGGGTGCAGGATTGCTGGGGTCAATGATTATTGTCACCGCATCCATGATATTCCTACCGTCCTGCAGTGAGGAGTCATCTCAGACGCCCGCAGGCGGCGCCCCATGGACGATGCTGGAGCGACGCAAGTTCATGGGGTTCATGGTGATCTGGGGTGCTCTTGGCAGTGTCTTGGATAGTTTTTTGGGTGGCCTGTTCCAACGGTCAGTCAGGGACGTGCGGTCCGGTAAGATTGTCGAGGGAGAAGGTGGTAACCGCGTCCTAGTAGTCGAATCTGCTACGGACGCGGCCGCTCATTCCAATGTCAAAACCGACGCCATGCAGAGCGAGGCAAAAGAGAAGCTTGGTGGTTCCGCTATTGTGGACGATGACGATGCTCATGCTGGTATCTATGATCATAAAGACAAGCACCGCAAGTCAAGTTTTGGTGATCAGCGACCATCGCGGGCCATCGAAACCGGGTGGGATCTTCTGGACAACAATGATGTCAATTTCCTCATGGCGGTTACGATGAGCGTTGGCGGCATGGCAGTAGCCAGCTGGTATTGGGACGTGCCCATACAGAGCGTCATGGGTGTGTAGAAACACAAGTTAGCGACGTCATTTTGAGGGTCAAGGGCAATTCTTGACGTTGGCCCCTTTCTGCCAAGACCAATGAGAATAAAGTGATGTAAAAAGCAACTCGCTTTCCCTTCTGGTACTATTTGATCCATCACGAGATTTAAACCACCATTATCCGTCGCCACTGGATGGTGTTGAACTGCGTCAAGACGCACACACATGCTGAGTGACTCCAGCTTGGCACGGCCAACCCCCGGTGAACGTCCGTCACCCCCGGTCAATCCCCGCCGGGTCTCGGCGTGAATCGCAGTCCCTCGGGACGCCAAACCCGGAGTTGACTCCGAGGTGGGTAAACTTTGAGTCCAATGCGAAACCGGCAGATTTTGATTTCAAAAGCCGGCATGGTATCTCTACAATTAGAATCAACCTCATTCGCGCAACGAGTTATTTGAACGTGATTCCATCACCCAATTCCCCAGATCTCGGAGGATGGGAGGGTGGGAGCGAGAAAAGCCAAACGATTTACATCCCTTCTGGCGATCCAATAGACATGAGGCCTTTAGTGATCGAGATTAATTGCTCTTTCTCTTCCAGAGATAGCAAGATATCGACGGAAACCTGGGGTAAGCCCAGAATCGGATCAGTTCCTGTTGCTCATTTAAATGTGTAATAGTCTCAAGCTTGAGTCTGATTGGTCTGGCAATTTTGCAATGAGTCAAAATGGGGATTGCGGGGGGCGGCAGATCTCCATCTCAGCAGTGTGGAACATTGAGCAGGAGCATTGCCTCTTTGAGTAGCCATTCTGCCATTCTGAGACCAGAGAAACTTATGAAGAGATTATGATATGTTTTGAGAAGGTAGTAATATTTTAGAAGATTATGATAAAATTTAGGATAACTTTAGTCTAAGAAAGAAACGGGAGGCGCAACTGTGCTGTTGGGGCTTGGGCTCAGCTGCCAAACCAAAGTTTCGAGCACTTGCACCTGCTCTGAGATAATATTCTTCCACTCACAGAGAAGGAACGGTCTGCATAACTCTGCTTCCCTTCACTGGAAGCTCACACAAGCCCCCGGCTAAGAAGAAAATTTTCTGGACATGCATCTCCTCTCCTGAAAAGACTCACTCAAACGCGCCCTAATCCCTTGGTGTTATTCTTCCTCTTGGCCTGCCTTATCATTACCATACATTTACTTGAGAGCATGTTAATTAAGTTGCCGGAATATGCATTACCCCTGGCATCGTCAAGGGGCTCTATCTTTTCTCATGGTCTCGTGCGTGTGAGCCCACTGACAAGAACCGTTCGTTACAGCCAGTCGGATTCAGCTCGGGAATAATTGAACCCTGACACCCGGCAGAATGAGTCCCTCCCGTTCTAGATCAATTATGATTTATCCAAGGAGAAATGGAAGAAGAGGTGAGCAAAATCGAGTGACACGACCGGACCGACGCTAATAACTGACGGCAAAACCCCAGCAATTCAATTATTCAACTCATCGCGTATCCCCGAAGCCGGAGACCACAGCCTCCCAATTCAGGACAGGGCAGACCTGGAGAAGTGCCTGAAAGTCTGGAGTGTCCCGAAAGATACTGTACATTGCAATTTCGTACGGTCTGGGGAAATGGAAGAGGACCTGAAAATCGGAATTGATGCGCGATTTACAGTTCGGTAAGTAGTGAAAATAGCCAACCAGAGACAAAGATATCTGAAACGGCTTTGAAGCCGTCGGTCGAAGCCCAACGTGAGATAACAGGCATTATGCAGAACATGCCCAGGGCCAATCACGTCTCAATGATAAGAGCCTGCAAGTTCCTGTCCATCTCGGGTGTGTGGCTTTGGTTCGTTGGGTACGGTATTCTTTTTTTTGGGGTGGCGTTGGTGACAAGGCTGGGCGTGCTTGGAGAGACACCGACTCGTCGCCGGGCAGCGCTGAGAATGAACCCCAAAAAAGAAGCGGTGGTAGAAGGAACTGCTGCCCATGGTTGGACAAGTTAAACAAAGAAACAGGGCCTTCTTACCAAAACGAGTATGGTTCGCCAGGGGCTCAAGAAACGATTTGGTAACAGATCAGGGACAAACCGGAACCACCGAGGCTGTCGGGCTTTCTGGAGAGTCACAAGCACCAGGCCTTTAGCAGTTCTCAAAATAGCTGGCTCCTGGGCATGGAGTATTTTCGGGGCATCCATGGCAGAAAGGCTTGGGGCGCAGTTTGGTCCTGGATCTGTTTCTGACATGCCCTGTGTGCACCTTGGTTGCTTGTGTCCTGCAGCATGTGCGAATGTGGGCCAGACGTACCATGCTACAAGGATTGCACCTGTCCCACCCAACCCCAGAATGTTTGCCCACGAAAGACGCGGGTACCATCAGATAGCCTCTGCTTGAGAGTGGGAGGGAACTTTGGGGGTTCAATTTCCTGGGGAAGAAGACGGAGGTGCGTCGGGAAGTCTTCTTATCTATGGTTTACGGATATACTGACCTACTCAGCGACGACTGCACGAAGCTTTTGAATGCAGGATATACAATTGGTCTGAATTCCCAAAGCTGGGAACACATGGTTTTCACCAATTTCACCCCCACTATTCCTTATCCGGGCATGCGCACCACATACGCACAACCACACACGCAATTAACTCTACTTTTAACGTGTTAATGGGCCATTGTTGCGATAAGACTTTGGGTCAAATCGTTGCGGTATACTGGGTCGCATTTCCTCAATGGAGTCGAGGCTCCGTAAGCGGAGCAAAGCGCTTCATATCCGCCTATTTTCAGATAACTAATTGTCAATTAACAGGTTGAGCCGGCACTGAGCCGAATTGTCGTCTAAACCACCAAGCAAACCTCGCCGGCCCGGTGATGATTAGATAGGACGTCGATAAAAAGCACCGCCTTATACCGCTGGGGATACCCGCCGAGCGGCTGTGTAGAAAAATCATGAGTACCTTGCACACACACCGTCTCCGCCGAAGCCGCCCCGTTATGTCATACGGCATTCAGCACTATATTGCGCTATTACGAGGCGGCAGTGCCCTGAAAGTTTCGCTACGACAGCGATACTACCCACTGAAGGAGGCACTGTTGTCATTCAGCCGGCTGCCGGAGAAGCATTCACGAACTGGAGACGGTGGTGCAATGATGGAAGATACGTTCCACTTAATGAGGTTACTGGCTTCCTCTTGATTTGCTCTCGAGTAGCGTTGCAAGATTTCATTATAAGAATTACACGGGAGTCCGTTGCGGTAGGCATATAGTCTTTTCTACAGCACGTACTCGTCACGAAGAAAAAGACGATCTATATTGAAAACAGGTATCTTCCCTGTGTGTGGTGTCTTGTGAAATTATAAGTCTACGCCCCCCCCCTCCATAAAGAGGCCCTGCCGAACGCCAATCGAGGATTGTGACGGAATACATTTAACCCCACTCTGAAAGCCGGTAACAGCCACGCCCCTGCATCCGGCTACAGGGAATCCTTATCTTTTGGCGGGCGAGAGTGTCAACCTTTCTTTAGAAGACGGCTCGAATCCGTAAACATAAAACCCGCGACGCCCCGACCTCCCAAGAATTGTTTTTCGGTCATCCTACACATATCCGTTTAATTGTTTGATACATTTGTATCTCCTTTCGTATTTCTCATTTGGAATTCACCTTATCCTCCTACCATCACAACCACATTCACAATGGTTCGTCACCAACAAAGGCTTGATGATATAACGCCAACTAACAATATGCGCTGCAGGCTGCTCCCATCACCTCAAGGACGGAGACTCTCCAGAAGTATCTCAAACTTGATCAGAAGGGCATGATCATGGCTGAGTACGTCTGGGTTGATGCCGACGGTGGCACCCGATCTAAGTCCCGAGTAAGTCGATCCGGCGCCCCACATCTCCGATTCCTCGGTATACTACGACATCCGGCTGGGAAAATCACGAAAACGCTGCAACCAGTTTTCGGTACATCTACTAACACGATCACAGACTCTCCCCGAGAAAGAATACAAGGCTGAGGATCTTCCCGTCTGGAACTTTGATGGTTCTTCTACCAACCAGGCTCCTGGCGAGAACTCCGATGTTTACCTCCGCCCTTGCGCCGTTTACCCCGATCCTTTCCGCGGCTCTCCAAACATCATCGTTCTGGCTGAGTGCTGGAACGCCGATGGCACCCCCAACAAGTTCAACTTCCGTCACGACTGCGTGAAGGTCATGGATACATATGCCGACGACGAGCCTTGGTTTGGTCTGGAGCAGGAGTACACTCTCCTGGGCTCTGACAACCGACCTTACGGCTGGCCCGCTGGTGGTTTCCCTGCTCCGTAAGTTCATATCTGCATCTTTTATGCATTAACTGACAATATCGCAGCCAAGGCGAGTATTACTGTGGTGTCGGTACTGGCAAGGTTGTCCAGCGCGATATTGTTGAGGCTCATTACAAGGCGTGCTTGTGTAAGTAAAGTTCTGTGAATGTGCTCTATCAAGATATAAAGTCTTGATATTGTAGCCGTTTCCCGATCACTGTTTACGGGCCATGGCTAACAAAATCCTAGATGCCGGCATCAAGATTTCCGGAACCAACGCCGAGGTCATGCCTGCTCAATGGGAGTACCAAGTCGGTCCCTGCACTGGCATTGAAAGTAAGTTTGCTCTTCTCTTTGTGGGGCTCTTCGGTTAAACCTTGGAATGCCCCACAAAACCCCATACAACCGCTAACCACCAAATTTTGATAGTGGGTGACCAACTTTGGGTTTCACGATTCTTTTTGCATCGGGTCGCCGAGGAATTCGGTGCAAAGGTCTCCCTGCATCCTAAACCGATAGCCGGGGACTGGAATGGTGCTGGCCTGCATTCCAACTTCTCTACGAAGGCTATGCGCGAGGAGGGAGGCATGAAGGTCATCGAGGAGGCTTTGAAGAAGCTGGAGCCTCACCACGTCGAGTGTATTGCCGAATACGGCGAGGACAACGAACTGCGATTGACTGGTCGTCACGAGACTGGATCGATTGACAGTTTCTCTTGGGGCGTCGCCAACCGCGGCACAAGTATCCGCGTGCCTCGCGAAACCGCTGCTAAGGGCTATGGCTACTTTGAAGACCGTCGCCCTGCTTCTAACGCTGACCCTTACCGTGTCACAAAGGTTTTGCTTCAGTTCTCCATGGCTTAGAGCGTGTTTTAGAAGTTTATTTTAGTCTGACGGTTTTCGTCTCATGGTTTACGGCGCGAGGGTATGGGAAACTATTGATTATATAGATAGCATGACAACTAGTCCTGAAGGACAGTAATGACAAACAACCAGTAAATCATCTTTAGCTTTTATGTTGCTCCTTTTCAGGCTGGTGAATGTAAGTGGACAGGTGACTGTAAGTGGGTATGTGCTTACTTTTTCAAATTATAGGTAAGTTTCGAGCCGTCGCCTTTAGTCAATTAGAATGTGTGACCACTAATTCCGGCCATTGCACAAAAAGACGAGGGACGCAAAATGAATTACAATGATGGTTGCTGTTAAAAGATGGTATGCCGTCCAATTTAAGCTTATTTTCAACACGTGGGGCAAAGCCACGTGACTACCCCCGCTGGCCTGTGGCCGGTAACCAATAAGTTACAACCCAAATTTTTGTGGCAGGTGCTTTCCGGTACCATGCGTATTCGATTGCCTGGCCGAACATTATTGCTACGGTGGCTAAACTGATATGTATTCTAAGTGTCATGCAGTTCGCGATGAGATCCTTGATTTGCCGCGCGTAGCCTACATCTGTGATGCTGGATCCGTTTGGTGGTCCTCTCTGCTTATCGCAGGTGAAACTGATCAGCACTCGCATACGACTGGGCTCGGTACTCCATCCACAGTTGACGATGAGTATGGAATGTAGATTTAGTAGGCACTAATGTTGTGCTTCCTGTTGAATAATTAGATATGTTTTCACTGCGTCCTCCTCAACTTTCGCAAGTTTTTAAATGCGACGGTAAACACCTTCCGTAGCGCACATTCTAAAGTTGAAATAGTGGAACAAGAATACCTGCAGCACTTACCTCCGAAGATCTGATCGCGTGAATTTGACCTTGGCAAGGCCCGGGTTTGTTATCCTGAATATCAAAGGGGGAGTGATGGCAACAACTATCATCTGAAAAATAAAGAGAATCTATTTAGACTGGAGATCCCGCAAGGTCTCTCACCACTAACAATTTCCCCACTTCCGGGGATGCTGGTGGCAAGGGGGAAGAACCGAGGGGGCCGGAGAAGTTCTGAAGTCAGTGTCGAAAAAGACAATCGACGTCGAACCGCCATTTCAAGGAGGAATACAACTACAAAGCCAAGCGCGAGGGTGACCTGGACGAAACCCAGTAGAATTCTGCCGTTGCTATGAGGAAAAGAGGAAGTGGCATTCAAGAACAAGAAGATCACAAATTCTTGACTAGGTTCTTATTCCTGACCTAAAATAAAGTCTCTAGTAGGTAGTCCAAGTTTATAAATGTAAAGTCCTAGATTTGACAAATATATAGAAAAGGCTGAGCTATCTTTAGGATAATATAGACTCAAGATTGACATACTTTTTAAAAACAAATACTGTTGAGCTTCTCACCTGCGATGAAGCCACTGCCAACGTGCGTTGAGTCAACAATGAGAGAAAATCTTGAGCTGAGATAACATTGGCTGAGGCAAGTGCTAAGGCTCAAGCAACTGCATACATGCACTGGCAGGACGATTCGGCAGGACCCACGAGGAGGAAACGTGTCCATGACCACGTTGTTCCCATTTTGTTGATTCACTTTCTGGGGTTGTTACGTGGTACCGATTGGCCAGTAAACCTCCAATGCAGGTACGGCCGTTGAGAGTTCCGTCTAGGGTTCCAATGACGCATCATGCCTACTCTAGCAAGGAAATAAATATACTCAAATTAAAATATGGTTACAGTTACGTATGAGCTAAGTTATCATTGTGATTCAAGTTTGAAGAGAAGATAGTCTCTGCTGGCTCAAGCTGACCGTTGCCATTGTTTTCCTAATTCATCAGTTCTTGGATGTTAGTTCATGCTGTGAAAGATCAATGGCTATCCCAATATGCCAGTGCCCAGAGACGTGTTTTTCAGTGCTGAGCTACTCATGGCGGGATCTTCAAAATTGTGGTGTTGATTTTGCTCTTCGAGTTATATAACACGACCTCGCTCATAGCAATGGTGACCATTTCATCCTTGCACACGACTCTCTGCCAGTAATGAATTGGCCAATATAGAGAAAAGAAAGGAGCATGTGGGAATACATTTTCTCCAATAGAAGTTCAGATTCTCTAATATACATGATACACCTTCTCTTGAAACTGTCCGAAGTGGATGATTCATAAGAGTATGTTCCAAATGGAGTTTGAAAACAAACGATGATAAGGAAATTGACCCGAACTCGATAAGCAAAGAGACTTGTGATACGAAACTGAATTTGTTGAATGTTATGACTTCTTGGAGACAAAGCTGATAATAGCTTGTTTGTTGGTCTGGGTAATCAGACATGACCAGATGTTATAGGGTCCACCCTTGAAGGAGTCTGAAGCAGGTGAATATTCGCGTCTTGTTTGTTGTTTGTTGGTCTTTGGTCTGGTTGTGACTTTCGATGTGAAGTTGACACAGGGAGAAACAGGACTCGTTGTTGCTTTGGATGCGCAATGTGACCCAAGACAGGCTCTTCGTTTGAAGGATGCGAGATACCATGGACATGTAACCCTTCAGATCAAGAGTTATAAGATCAATGAGACATCGTAAAATGGTGGCAATATATCATGACTGGTGGCCGAGAGTCCAGTTTCACGTGAAGTACAATCGATCCAAGAGTAATTGCTTGTTGAGTTTTGAGTCTTCTGGTGTTCTTTCTTTGTCATTTGTTGCGTTGTAGATGATGGTTGTTCTGTGGCGATTGTATTTTGGCAAATGGCCGAGCAATCATTTGAGTGTTTGTTTTCTCTCTCAATATTCTGTATCGGTATTGGCTTCTAGGAGGTGATACTCATGTTTTGATGGTTGTATCATGATAGATCGTGTCCTGAAATCATGCTGTGTAAGGCTCTCTAGATGTGCTGAAAGTCTGGCCGGGGTGTGGATGTGTCTAGTTCGCGGCCGTGTTATTTTTGCGAACCGCTGTCCTTCCGTCTTGACGGATAATGACTGCTTCGTTGGCCTCAGTCTGTCGTCCTGATCTCAGTGATCTCGGCGGTCTCGGCGGTCTAGTAATTCGTGGTCATCCCTTCTCGTCGTGCACTTCCGCTCCTCCATTTTTCGTCATCCAAAATCATCGACTGACTGTCACCTGTTTGTCGTTTATCGTCCCTTCTGCTCTCCTGAGCCCCTTCCTCCTCCTCCCGTGCTCAAATTGGCACAACTCCAACTATCCAATTGTCATTCACTTTCTCTTCCTCTTCTCACATATCTCCAGCTTGTTCCGGCCTCTCCTATCATCTCCTCCTTCTCTGCCTGAATCCCCATGTTCTCCTATTATTTCCCTTCTCTTGCTCCTCTCTTGTTATCCTTTTAGATTTGTCGTAGCTTGATTTCGACTGCCGCATAGGTATACGATTCGTTCGTATGTGAAGTGTTTCTTGCTTTTCCTCAGTTTTGTCTTTTGTTCTCAGCTTTGTTTTTGAGGCCACCGGAATCACAATTCAAGCTTCATGGAAACTCCCCTCGGTTAGCCTTTATTACCGTAAGATCGTGGGGCAATTAGCTGTGCATGGTTTCGTGAAAACCTTCGACTTGGGTCTCTGAGTAATATGATGGTGCCGCTCTCGATGCTGGTGTTGGGCTCATGTTTCGTCTCAATCTTAGTCCAGTGTTATGTCGAGCTTGGCGTTCTTCTCTTTAATTCTAACGTCATCGATGTTGTGTTTATTTCCGTCTGGTGTTTGGGGCGGCGCCATTTGTTATTGGTCTCATTTCGTTTCAAGTGGTGATTCTACCCCTTGATCTTGTTTGTTTACTTGAGCTTCTTTTGTGTCCGTCTTCGGTCTGGGTTTGACCTGAAATTGATCTTAAGTTGTGCTCATCTCTTGTGCCGTGCTCACATCCCCTTTTCAACTTGTGTTTCTCCAGAGCTTGGTTTCGTCTTGCCATCATCCTTTGATTAGAGTTTTCTTTTGGTCCCACGCTTATATATTGTCGTATGGCTGGTTGTTGTATGCTCGATTGTAATATAATTGGTTGTCGTATGCTTGGTTGCCGTGTCTGTACTTCTTTTCCGTCCTGAGTCTGGTGTGATATTGCTTTCGGCTAATATCTTGCATGCCTTTTCTGTCGAGCCGTGTGCTTCTCTTGTTATATTGTATTCTGCACCAATATTTTTGTGTTTCTTGGTCGGTATATCTCGGGTATCGTATCTTGGCCGTTGTATCTTGGGTCGTGGTCTCCTAGTGTTTCCACCCACCTTCGCCAGGCTTCTGTGAAACTAGTCTCCAACCATATGGCGAAAATCCCAATTTTCGTAATGCATGTAATTTGTGGTGGTTTGATGCTCGATCTGTATCATAGCCTTCGATTGACCCGTGACATTGTCTGAGTTTCTATTATCCTTCGCTTTTGACCAACTCATATACAGCAACCCTGGGAGTAGATGTCGCTTTGTATTGTTGAAGGCTTGGTTTGCGAAGCGTTATCTGCTTTTTTGAACAATACCTGCTGTCGAGAAACCGGCAACGGGGGATTTGCAACGGAGTGTTTGTCATGGTCAACATGTCTATCAGCATAGCAACGAAAAGCAATGGCTGTTTTGCTTTTCGTTGTCTTATGTTGAAACGTTAGAAATCGCACAAGCTTGGCTTAGTCAAGCGAAGAATGGAATGCTCGTTGGAGGCATAGTTGATAAGCAATTGCTGGTAATCGTGTCGATGTCGCCAATTGGGACTATTAACTTGTATGGATGGTTGTATCGATAGCCGTTCTGTTCAGCTGTTAATCTTGTGGGTTTTGGTGGCTGTTCCCTTTTATTGATGCCTTGCGAGTCTTGAGGCTGAGCAGCTGTTGATGTGCCTGTTACTAGGATGGTCAGTAAGCATCTCAGTATTGCTTCTCGCCGCAGTACTGACTGATTTCCTTGATGACGGTATCGTAGCATAGACGACTCAGCGATCCTGACCCATTCCCTGAAATTTGACGGGATCTTACTGGCCGACCCGAACCCTGATTGAAG